GGGGGCGGAGGGGTCAAGGGAGGGGGGGAAGGAGAACAAGGCGACCCGGCCCTCCGCCCTGGTGGGGGAAGCAGAAGGGGAGGAGGAGGAAGAAGGGGAAGAGGGAGGGAGGGAGGGGAAGGGCGGGGGAAAGGGAAGCGTGCAGGGAGGAGGCAGGGCCTCGTCCGGGTCGACGGGAAGGAAGAAGGCCCGAGGCATGGGGAAAGAGGCCGCCTGGAACGAGTCCACACAGCCACAGCTGGACGTTCTGGCCGCCCGCCACGCCGCGGGGGGTCTCTACGGCCCCCATCGTTCGCTCGCCCCCCCAGAATTATCGGGAGGGATGCGAGGAGAGCGGGAGGAACCGGGGCGGGGGGGGGAAGCGGTCGACTTTTCGAGCCCAACTCCGACCTCCCGCGGCCAACGCATGTGGGACGCCCCGTCTTCTCCCTCCTTGTCCTGCTCCTCCTCGGTCGTGCGGGGCCCGACGCCCCAGAGCGCCTCCCGGACGCGTTCCTCGCTCTTCCAGGGCCTGCGTTTCCTTTTGACGGAAGTGGACGACCAACGTCGCTTCCTCGAAGCCCGGATACGCAACAACGGCGGCACGGTTCTGCTTGCCTTGGCCGGACTGTCCTCGCTCCCGCCCTCGTTGCTGGATGCAGGGGACGACGAGGGAGGGGAGAAGGGGGAGACTCGGCCCTACCAGGGCATGGTGGTGGTGGCGGGCCCCACGGGGTATCGGAAATTGAAGTACATGTGGGCATTGGCTAGCGGCGCTCCCCTCGTCCACAAGGACTGGCTCGAGGCCTGCCTGGCCGAGCAGCGACGTCTGCCCTTTTTTGGCCTGGAATGGGGGAAAGCGGGGGGAGAGAAGGCGCGCAGGAACTATGCCCTTCCCGTGGGGTTGTCGCTGCTGGAGGAGCGGTTTCTCTTCCGCCCACCGTCGCCCTTGGAGGACGCCCGGCCCAACCCCATCTTCGAGGGAAAGTGCGTCCTCTTCTGCTGCTCCGACGCCTCCTTTGCCGGGGAATGGAAGGCCGTTTTTGCCGCCGCGGGCGCCGTCGCGGCCAGTGTGGTGGAAGTGGAGGCTGACTGGGTGCGACGCCACCGGGTGGATTTTTTGGTAGGGGACCCCAGTTGGCCCAGCCACCACCTGCAGCAGGCGGCGCGGCAGGGAGAGGGGCCAGGGGAAGGCGGTGAGGCGGTGTGCCTGGTCAAGACCCTCCTGTTGCGGGGCCAAGCCCGTCCGCAGTCTTTCGATTGGGTCGTGCAGAGCTTGGTTCACGGGCGCTTGCTGCCGGGGGATGCGCATCCTCGCTTCGCCCTGGGCTGGGAGGTGGACTTGAGGACGGGCGCTTTGACGCAGGAGGGAGGGAACGAGAATGGGAAAGGGAGGGCGTACCATATCCGGGTCGCCTCCGAGGGTGGTGCAGTGAAGAGGTACGAGGAGGGAGATTTTATCCTGCTGAAAAGGCTGGGAGGAGGGGGCGACGGGCTGCTTTCGCCGGCTGAAAAGGGCGGGGGCGGGGGCCGTGGAAAGCCAAGCCCGCGAATCCCTCCCCGAAAGGGCGCGAACAACACGCCTCAAGCCGGCCGGGAGGCAAATTCTCTCAAGAGGGACCAGGCCTTTGCGCGGTTGCGGCGCATTCTATCGCCGCAGTGGGTGGAGGTGGAGTTCTTTCGTCAACCGGACCCAGAAAGGCAGCCGGCCATGCTGGTCTTGGACACGGCGAGGGGGCCGGAGAAGGTGGGCATTGGCAGGCTCGCGGGGAAGTTCTTGTTGTTGGATGTGGAGGCCTACTTTGCGCACGATTGCTACACCCGAAAGAGTGAAGATATCTACTACACGGCGCACTTGGGAAGGGGTTGAGGAGGGTGTGCGAAAGTGGGGAAAGGAAGGGATGAGGGAGAGGCAGGAAGGTCGCTTGAGAAGAGATTGAACCGGGGGAAATTTCCGGAAAAAGAAGCAGAAACGTGTAGCTCCGGTCCTGAAATAAAACTGACCATCCCCTGGTTGTCTTGATGAGCCAGACATTTTCAAAAATTGGTCGGCGGGTCACGCGGTACATCGATGCCCTAGAAAGTCCATTAATCTTCGAAAAAGAAAACAAGGTGCCCGTGAGGCTACCATGAACTCTCAATCGACACCTATTTTCATCAGTGCATTGTAGCCAACAAAAAATGCTTGTCCCTCTACCCTCGCCCATAACGCTCGATACCTTTTGACCACCAGTAAGTCGTAACCCTCCCTTTTTATTGGTTTTTCTTGTCATATTTTCTTCTTCTCTTCTCCTCAAATCATGTTATAGCAAAATCGTTCCGCTTTTCCTTACATCTATTCTATCACCTTCATCTTCAAAATCTCAAAAATCTCCTACCGCAAGTCGCGTGTTTCGTATGGCTGCCATCCTCAGAAAGATCCCTGCTCTTGGCAGCATTCCGTAACTCTTTATAACCCAAAGCAGGAAGACGAATGCCACGTCGCATGGGTAACACCCCTCTTTGCCTTGTTCAAGCTTTCTTTGCCGCCGTCGTGTCTCAGAACTAAACCTCCTTCTTGCCCACTACATATCTGGTCATCGGATCCGCGTACGCGTCCAGCCCCTCCTCCACCTGAGCCCACAGCTTGTCGTCCTCCCGGACAGGGTCGAGCAAGAAGGGGTAGGCCAGATCGGGAATGAACTCGATGCAGCGGTCGTTCGTCATCAAAATCATCAACACCTTGCGGGCGACGCGGAAGTGCTTCTCGGCGAGCGAGTCCGGCTGCATCGGAGGCACGGACTTGCAAACGGCCCCCCAGAGGCCCCGTTCGTCGTGCAGGGCCGCGTGGTAGACTTCTTCCATCGCTTGGGCAAGCAGCGCGGGCGTGAGGGTGGCAGAGGACGAGGAGGAGAGCATGAGCGGTTGGTCCAGCGTAAGCCACTGCCACACGTTCACGCGCGCCTTCTCCGCGGTGGCCAAATCTTCAAAGACCCCGTCCAAGGCAATGCAGCCCGTGCCATGGATGAAGCTCGCGGTGTAGAAAAGGGCCAAGCGCAGGTACTGCTTGAGGCCCGCGTAGGTAAATTTGTCAGGCGTGTGCTGGTCCGCCGGGACCTCGATCAACTCGTGGTCCTTCACGTCCGGGGAGGGAGGCTCCATCCGGATGAAACGGAGCAGACCATCCTGGTATTGCGCCGCATTGGCTGCCACGTGCAGGCTTAGAGACGTCTCCAAGGCCTTCAAAAACGCTGCGAGCGTCTCACTCTCCCGCCCGCCATTCTCCACCGAGATCGAGGCCACTAAATCGGCCAGTGCTTGCCGGATGCTGGCTGGATCCGCGGGCCCCTTTATGGCGCCCCGGACTTTCGCCTCCCCTACCTGCTTCGCCAAGACTGCCAGGCCGCGATGCAGGGCACGCACGATGTCAAAGGGCTCCCGAACGTAGGGCGAGAAAGCCGGGTGGCCGCTCCAACCTCCCGCGTCCCCTTTCCACGCCTCGTTCGTCTTGTCCACGCGCAACTTGGCCTGGGCCTTCTTATCGATGGCGGGGTCGCCCGTGGGGATGTTGGTCACCATGCCCCCCACCGAGTCGAAGCCGCGACGAAGGTTTACTTGGGAGGTGTGGTTGGAGTACGCTTCCAAAAAGGAGACCCCCATGCCCGTGTGGGCGTTGTCGGGCAGGAGGTAGCGGCGGTGGGGCGCATGGGTGCCGACCAACTCCAGGTTGTTGGGAGTAGGGGAGAGGTTCGCTTGCAGGGACTTCGGTAGGGTCAGGCGCTTGATGAAATTGAATAGATAGTCGTACCGCCCCTTATTTTGACCGAGAGAGTGCTCGCGCAGGGTGTAGTTCATCTCCTCCTTCTCCATGCTGGCCGTGATGGTCTCGATCATGGTCGTGGAGCGGATAGCCATGGGCGGGATCCCGAGCTGGGCGGCCATGGCGGCGAAGACCTTAGCCCACCACGCCGTCTCATGCCGACTCTCCATCTTGGGCAGGTAGAGGGTGGGTTGAGCGGCCATGGCCGCCAAGGGAGCATGGCAGGTGGCGACAAAGACGGCGAAGTCCAACAAGGGCGCCGACACGGGCTTGCCGTCCACCAGGAAGTGGCCCTCGAGCATGTGCAGGCCCCGAACACGCACCTGGATGGTGGCGGGGCGTCGCTCCCTCAAAAATCCGTCCAACCCCTTGAGATCTGTCACATTGGACGTCACATTTTCCTCCAAGACGAAGTCGGGTTCGCACAACAGGTCCGTGATCCGCCCGTGTCCGTTCAACACCCCAGCATCTTGAAGGGCCTGGAAGGTGGCATCCGCATTCGAAGAAAAGGGCTCCAGGTCCTGCGGGCTCAAGCGACCTTTCAGCACGGTTTTGGAGTTGGGTCGGACGTCTTTAATGGTCCCACAAACGGCCTCGTAAATCGTGCGGTAGCCTGCTAAGACATTGGCCTTGAGCGGGGCTTGGGAGTCCTCATTGTCCATGAAATCCGAGGCCGCCTTGCTGTTCAATCCGTGGATGGCCATGTTCGCGGCTCGACTCGGATGTGTGTTCTCGCAGGCCCGGTCAGCCATGTTGGGGGGACGGTGCGTCTCGCTTTTCCAATCGCCGTCGCGAATGGTCTGAGTCTCGGCCGGGAACGACATGGCGGGCCGCTTCTCGAGGATGTTCTTGTAGATTTCCTCCTGGCGAGCACGTCGAAGAGCCATCAATCCCTCCAAATTGGGACTGAAAGTGCGCTCGGTGCGGACCAAGTCGCGGACATGGGTAAGAATATTCAAAGTAAGCAGACTTTGTTGCTCCTTGAATGTGACCGAATAAAGAGGGAGAAAATAAAGCATGAGCATGATAAATAGGATTTCGAATGTCCAACGGCTTATCTACCCGTACTATTTTTATGTTAAACGCCCTAACAACACTAAGCAGTATATTATCATAAATATAATAGGTCATGTGGCATAAGAGCAAGAAGGAAGCGCACACCTCATGGGCTGTGGGCTTCACACCACCAAAAAGACATGGAGAAGCTAGACCAAAACACAAACCATTTAAGAGTGCTTTATACGAAAAAACTAAAAATGGTCAAAGGATAATCAGTATTATGAACGTGGTAACATACACAGTCGTCAAAACGGCGCCCGCCTTCATCTTCAACTTACGACCTGTTGTTCTGGCTCCTTGTTGTCCGAGAGATCTTTACGAATACTCACCTCTGTCAGGCCACCAACAATTTCGATACCCTCAGGACATCCCTCTTTAGATGAAGCAGCCTGTAGGGCCTCTAGAACTACTTGAGGAAGGGGATGAAGCTTGAAAGTCGATTCCATCTGGACGGTAGGAAAGAGCTCAGTGGCTGGTACGACAAGTGTTGCTGTACGTCTATAGAAAGAGGAATTATTTCGTGAATCAAAAACCGCACTGGTAGCAACCCTCAGGGCAACCGTGCCAACGACATATTCAGGGTCGCACGCGTGCGCCTGCCTTTAGAAGGCAGATAGGGGGACGATGTGCTCCTTGAGGCTCCCAGACTCGCCGCGCCTCTCGCCCTTGTTCTTCAACAGCAGCCTGGGCCAGAGGGGGGAAAAACACCTTAGAAGTCCTTGACAATACTATTGCCTTGCACATACTACGTCGTTACGCACATTTTCACGATCTGTTGTACACAGGGTAGAGCAGGGCGATAGCCTTGCTGCATCCGCGCAGCGGGCGGTGACCAACTATCTTCTTCACTCCCCGTTTCCCAGCGCCAAGATACTTGTCCATGCCCCCCCTCTCCTCCACGCCGTTGATCTTAATAATGTTTTTATGCTATGGCTCCGCACCACGACGAGTTTTGGGTTTTAGAATTGTTTGGAACTCCCCCTTGCACTATGCCACACCACATTTGGGCGCGCGAACGTCAGGTTTTCCTCCCAGCCAGACAGCGCTGTCGACGTGGAGCTGCTGCCCTCGGTTGGTTCAGTCATCCCGCCGCTCACCCTTCCAGTCGTCCACCCTGCGTTTCGCCATTCCTGCTGCTTCGTTTAGCGCAGGGAAGGGTAATGAACGGAAAGTGAAGGACCACAAAAGGAGGACACCGAAAAATAAACACATCGACGAAGACGAAACCAATGACGTTCAAGAAATGACAGAGACAGAGCTGCTCAAAATAATGCAGAGTGGAGAGGCAATGGATGCTGTATGGCAGCGAATGATGAGCCAAATGGAGGGGATGGAGGCCTTGGATAGCGAGGATGATGAAGATGAGGAGGATT